CGAAGGCAGACGCTTAACGACTGAGCCGCCCAGGTGCCCCCAAATATTTATTTTCTTAACCACAGTTGGTTTCTATTGCTTGTAAATAAACACCTAGAACAGGTACAAGTGCAGTATAAATGTAGGTTATTATTATTATTATACATTGGTGTGAGCCACTTTATGTTTTTCCTACTTGTCTTACACATTACAGAGTATGCTAAGAACTTCTCCCAGAGTCAAGACTTGGATGAGTCAAGGGTGATGCCTCAGGGGCAAAACTGCAGGAGGTGCTCATTCTTGGGTTCATGCAAATGCAGGGCAGGCACCTAGGGAAAGTTTTTCCCTTAAGGCCTGAGGGAAGCACTTACTTGTACATTAAAGTGAACCAATCTTATAATGCAGGCACCATAGATGAATAACAAAAACTTCTGAAACCTTCCATGAGCTGTCCTCACCTCCAATTTGTGCAGATTGTTCCTTGGAGAGGGAGGAGCAAACACTATTCCAGATAGATTTCTGATATGAGAGTCTTAGGAATTTCTTTTTAAAGCTTAATCTATCCATTAAGAATGTCCCTCAGGAGACTGGTTCTTAACTCTGGCTGCCCACTGGATTCATCTGGGGAAATCTTATAAAACATCCAATGATTGGTTCTACCATCCAGAAAATTTAATTCATTTGGTTTGGGGAGGCTCCAGTGAGTCAGCTTTCCAGGTGATTCTAATGCGCAGTCAGAACCACTGCTCTAAGTGTATTGTATCATAAGGTTCTACTGGGAGTGCTGACCTCGCCCCATAACAGAAGCCCTGGAGTCATAAGGATGAGAGCAGCAGAAGAGTCTATTTCCATAGACGGAATTAAAAATCTGGTTCTTCTCTTACTTGCTGCATGACTTGGGCAAATTAATTCATTTTCTTATCTGTAAAATAAGTATGACGTCGGTACCAAACCTGATGGTATTGGTGTAGGAAATAAGTGAGGTAACATGTAAGGCTGTGAGCACAGTGACCTGTGTGTAGTAAGTGCTCAAAAATGTTAGCCATCAATTTCATCATGGTCACCCCTATAGTTAAGTGAGCTTAGACCTCTCCTCGAAAAGACACAGAGATTCTTGTGTGTTTCTGGCCACTCAGGAAGTAGAGAGTGTTCCTTCAGACAGGTGCCTTGGAGATGTGCAGGTTCCACGGCTGCAGAGCCTGAGAGTGAGCGTGCATCATTTCCTGGAGCGCACCATGCCTTCTCCTGGGGTAGCCATCCAGAAGCAAAGCTGCTTCTTGACCTCAGTCCGGACACCAGCCACCCCGTTCTACACAGTGGGACAGGAAATGAGGGCCAGTGGGGATATTCTTGATTCAGTCTAGCTCCCTCTGGGCTGTGGGGCTCCTTTCCTTCTCTAATTTTGTATTCTTAATTTAGATCTCGAAGGCCGGGCCTTGAAACCCTGGAGGATATCACTGCAAACCCACCCCTCTAATCCCTGTCTGAAATTTTGCACAGGGGAAAAGGGAGGAGGAAGTCACAAAAATTCACAGGGCGCCAGGCCTACATATGCTTATCACTGGGATAAGTGGAATAGTAATTGTAGTTGTAAAAGCTGACATTCATTGAATACATGCTATAACCCAGGTATTGCACATTTTGTCCCCTTTAATCTCATTTAATCCTCAACAACACCCTATGAATTGAAAACTATCATTATTTCCATTTCGAATATGAAGAATCGAAGTCTCAGGACCTCATCCAAATCCACCCAGCTAATAAGCAGGAGAGCCGGGATGGAACTCAGGAAGCTTCATTCTAGGACTCTTACTATTAACCACAGAGCTCTGTCAGCTCCTAGCCCTAAGGCACAGGCTGTGTCCATTCCTCCTTAGGGAATGCGGCGCCCACTGGCACGCTTAATTTGTGGTCAGGACAGGAAGAGGGAAAAATAGACCTGAATGATTCATTGCTATTGGCCGGTGAGGAAAGCACCATGCTTTGTGCTAGGTGATGGTGGCTGGAGAGAGAGCAAGGAAGGATAGAGACGGAGAGGACCAAGTTTAACATGGTCCCTATTTGAAGAAAATTATCTAATTTGAAAACACTTAGCTAGAGAATTAGTTCTTGTATGCATCCAAAAATAGCCCCACTCATCGAACACTGCAGAGAGACACCACTACTAGCTCAGCACGAGGGGTGCTGGATTCTCTTTGGGAATCGGACTCCTGGGCTTGAACTCCAACCTCCCTGCCAGTGCTGGGCGACTTGGGGGAAGTTGCAGAACCTCTTCATGCTTCAGCTGCCTCACCGGTAAAAGCAAAAGGGATATTAGTAGTACCTCCTTCAGGCTGATGTGAGGATTTCATGAGTGAATATAAGCAAATATCTCAGAATAGTGACTAGGTTCCTGGAAGAGTTTGACAATTGTAAGTTGTGATCGTTTTATGTTTTTGCCGCCGAGGCTACATGGTGAGTAAGACAGTGCCTGACCTCCAGAAGTTCAGCCTAGCGCTGGAGGAAAATGAATAACTGTAATGTGTGTGGTGTGTGAAAGGGATGACAGGGTGCGGCGGGGGCCTGCAGCAGGCACATCTAACCTATTCTGGGTGTGTGCATGGTGGAGGCAGTCAGCACAGGCTTTCCAGAGGCATGGATGTCTGGGCTGAGAGTCTTGCAGGACAATAAGTTAGAGGGAGGTGCAGTGATCCAGGCAGGAGCTGAGAGAAGGCATTTCACATCTGTAGGGTTGCCAGATTTAGCAACGAAAAATACAGAATGCCCCACCCATTCAATTTGAATTTCAGATAAACAGTGAAGAACCCTTTAGAATAAGTATGTGCCATGCAATATTTGTAGTATAAGTATGTCCCAAATAGGGTAGAACAAGAAAAATCATTTGTTGTTCATCTAAAATTCAAATTTAGCTGGGCAATCTGTATTTTACCTGTCAATGGCATCCATCCACATGTAGGGAGATGAAGGTGTGTCTGTGTAGCAGTCCCTGGGGGGGAGGAAAGGAAGAGAGGGTGAGGCTGGGGGGAGGCAGGAACCAGATTGTAGAAGATCTTGTAGCCAGGGCACAGGGATGTAAGAGCACCTGGCCCTGGGATCCCAGACGGAGCAGGTTCAGCCACTCACAGCTGACAAAATCCAAAGGCAGAGCAATGAGTGGTGGTGAAACCAAAAAGGAATTAATTTCAGTGAGGCCGACACGGGCAGACAGCAGATTAGCGTCTTAAAGACTGTCTCCAAAGTGCTGAAAGTATTTCCAGGTTTGTATAAGGAAAATGTGGGACAAAGGTTCTTGGGTACATCCAGATAAGCTAGAAAGAAGAATTTGATCAGTTCGGAAGTACAGACTGAGGTCAAATTGCAGGTGGTTGAAGTCCTCTTTCGATCTCCGGCCATGTCAGACAGGGATTTGGGTTTTATCCTGAAATCAGTGATGAGCCTTTGCAGAGCATACACCACCAGTATGTGAAATCACAAGCCAGAAGTGCTGAAATGTCATCAGGCACAAGGAGAGGAGCATTTGTTTCTATGGCTGCATAACAAATTACCCCCAATCTAGCATCTTAAAACAATACGCATTTATTATCTCACATTTCCCGTGGGGCAGGAATTCGGAAGTGACTTAGATGGTTTTGGCCCAGGGTTTCTGATGAAGCTGTAGTCAAATGGCCACCAGGGTTGCATCTTCTGAAGGCTTTATTAGGGCTGGAGGATTTGCTTTCCAAGGTGGCTCGCTCCCGTGGCTAAGCCCCTGTGGGCTATTGGCAGGAGAGCTCAGTTCCTTGAAACGAGGACCCTCCATGGGACTACATTAGCCTCTCAGAGCATGGCGGCTAGCTCCATGATCCAAGACACGGCGAGGTGGAAGCCACGTGTCTTTTGTGACCTTAACTGTGCAAGTCACACACCACCATTCCCACAATAGCCTAGAGGGTACGAAGATCAGCTCTGCTGGATGCCGGAGGGCACTAAGGTTATACATACAAAGTAGGCAGGGATCACTGGGGCCACCCTGGAGACTGGCTACAAGTGGGTAGCTTAGACAGTGATGCCTATGGCTTTGGAGATGGAGGACCATGATAGAAGCATGTAATTGTGAAGAAAGGCTTGGAGGAGCAGGGATATGGGAGAGGAGGGGAGATAAAGAAAAGAGAGAGGAAGGAGTGTGGGAGCAGTTTGCAGACCATTCACAGCAGAGCATAACAAAAGCCATCACAGGAGAAACTAAACGTGCCTCCTTTTTCTTTGGACATGCTCCAAAAACGGCTTCTGGTTCTCCAGAGAGGACCCTAAGAAAAAGTACATAAGCTGGAGGATGAGAGGGCAATACCCCGAAGTCCCAATTTTCTGTGCTCGAGATTGAGTTCCCACTGTGAAATGGGAAGTTAACATGCCTAAGGAGAAATAAGTGGTAATTACTTAAGGGAACATAATCACATGTGGTTTTAGTATTAATGGGTGGGGAGAAACTATAAACGTAATCTATTTATCTATCTGTATTTGTGTATGTTACTTTTATGGCTCTTTCTAAACATATCTATACATAATTGAAATATACAAATACATTTATTTACATATTAAAATGTATTTATAAAAATATATCTTTATATAAACACATAAACAGATATTATACATATACATATAAATACAATTATATGTGTTATATTTAGGAGGAGGCATAAACATTAACATACAGACTTTTTTTTTCAGTGCACATCAGAAAAGCTTTTTTATTTTTATTTGAAAACAACTTAAATTTTTAGACAAATGATTTTAGTATGTAAATTTGATTTTGTTTTTATGCAGAATATAAAGACTTCCCTCATTGATCTTCCACGTGAAAGGTATTACAAGCCTGAAGAGAGACTTTCTGCACACAAGTGTGTATCTTATACATAGGGGACTGGAAACCAATGGTGTAGTGCTTCTACACATAAATTAGGTCAAGGGACATCACATATTAAAAAGGAGTAAGAGAAATATACTAGTTAATCAGATTCAAGAAGCAAACAGGACACAAAAACTGTGCAGATAAGACCAAGTCAGTAACTTTAGTTAGGACACTGCGGGTTATACTGGAGTAACAGGTCTGTGAGGCCATAGTGGGTACCACAATAAAACAGCAAGGAAGACCTATTTATATAGAAAGGCTGGAATGAGGGATTTTTCACTAAAGCAAATTAACTTCTTGTCAACTGCCAAAACAAAACAAAACAAAACAAAACAGAGCATATGAAGGTTAGTATACTGAAGGCATGTTATACCAGTTTCTGTGCAGCATGCTAAAAGTTAGAACTTCTTCACTGGTGCATATGAATAACAGTCATGGAAAGGTTTTTTTTGGTTTTGTTTTTTGTTTTGCCCCTTCTCACCAAATTTCAGGCATGTCTTATTTTAGATGGAGTATAGCTTTTATCTATAATTTCGTCCTGTAAAAACATGTGAAGACAACGTTCATTCTGTGCCAGAGGATGACCAGCGACCTTGTTTATAAACTGCTCCAGCCCTTGCTTCCTTTCTTCAATAAAATTGTCATCAAATATTCCATCATCTCCTCTAAAAGGAAGCTGACGCAAAAACGCTTTTCCAGGGAGCGGGGGGACTACAACCTTGCTCTCTCTTTCTAATTCACTTCGCAGCCATTCAGAGTCACTGTATCTTCTTCTAACAGTAGATTCCTTCAGCTTGAAAATAGGCAGATTTGTCTTGACCCTGATTTCGTAGGTGGTGAAGCGGCCCCGGCCAACCCCCACCGTCTGCGGGTTGCTCACATCGATCTCTAGGAAGTTGCTGGGCGGCCCGTAGGCATCATTCAGGTTCTGCGGCTTGGTGATCAGCCGCCGGGTGTCCGCCACAGTCTCCGCCATTTCTTCACTGCAGCCGCCGCCGCCGCCGCGGGCTCCCTCCGCCCCCTCCGCGTTCCACGGACGCCGCCGCTGCTGCCCGCCGTGGGGACACCGGGCTCGCGCACAGCGGTCGAGCAACATACAGACATTTTTAACAGTTTTCCTTTAGGAAGAAAAGGTCTGATAGAAACTAATCTGTAGGAAGAGCGCCCTCTGCTGCCACTTGCACAAAATAGATTTTTCTGTCAATACCAAGAAAAACTCGTTAAAAAGGCTCTTAGGTTGTCTGGCTGCTGTCTATTACAAAAAAAAATCACATTAAAAAAACAAAACTATAGTTGAATAAATAACACATTTGTCTCTTCAAATATCTTTAAGAGTTTTTTCTGTGTTGTAGAAAGCCATGTAGCTACATCTTTCAATTTGACTTTATTTTTTCAGGGGTTAATTGTAAAGCAAATATAATTGAGAAACAGAGACATGGGATAATGATGTAATATGCAGTTAGGAGCATTTCTTCCAAACTCAGCTAAATAAAATAAATCCCTCCTTAGATTCACAAATCCGTAGGTCAGAGGCCATGAGTACCCCATCAAGAACAACTCTTTACAGTGGCAGGAGGCAATGGCTTTATTTGTTCCAGAGCACCCAGGAAAAGTAAAGGTGTTGACCCTTACAACCAATTGTGCTGGCTATTTCTGGGGACAGTAGGCAGGGGGTGGGGTGGGGAGGGCAGACCAGTCAATGCCCTACAACTCTGTGGCATCAGTGACTCAAGAAAATCAGGATGCATTGGCTTGACATTCTGTATTAAGCTGTACACAAACTGAGTTAGTCCCAGATCCTGACTGCCCACCCATACCTGACCCATCTCAGCAAACTAAATATAGACATGAGTGACACCACTCCCCCAGGTGTCAGCCTGGAAACCTCCATCCCTTCCATGCATTCATCCCTGCTTGTGTCTCTGTAGTTTGCAGATTCCCTGGCTCTGTTCTGTGGCTTCCAGATCAGTTTCTGAGCTCTCCCATTTCTCTGATTTATCACCATTGGCTCACTGCTTAATTGAGGACTTTGTAGGGATTTCTTGAATTTGAAATATTTGCAGCTTCACAGAGGAGACACTCTCTTAGCCAGCTTCATCCCAGCCTCTTAGCTAAGAAAAGATTAGACATCACCACATGTTTGGGAAAGTTTTTATCTCCTCTAACCCCCTTATCATCTCTAAAATGAGAACAATAAAAGAATTCACATTATCAAGTTTTTGTGAGAATAACAGCTGATAGAGTGCTTAGGATAAATATAAATTATTATAATATGTAATTTATTTATAATTTAAAAAATATGAAAATTTTCAAGCAGAAAAAAACATTAATAGATGGGCATCTGGTGGCTATGTCCAGGCCAGTGGGAGGAAGTTTAAAAATCAAGGGAAGACATTTAGTCCATAACAAACTAATTTTGGAAAATACATAAAAATAAGTCTGAGCGGGGAAGTTATAGTTTATAGTTTACTTTTCTTCTTCCTTTATTTAAAATTTTTTCTCTAGTGGAAATATAATACTTTTTAAAAAAATTTTTATTGTTATGTTAATCACCATACATCATTAGTTTTGGATGTAGTGTTCCATGATTCATTATTTGTGCATAACACCCAGTGCTCCACGCAGAACGTGCCCTCCTTAATACCCATCACCAGGCTAACCCATCCCCCCACCCCCTCCCCTCTAGAACCCTCAGTTTGTTTTTCAGAGTCCATCGTCTCTCATGGTTCGTCTCCCCCTCCGATTTACTCCCCTTCATTCTTCCCCTCCTGCTATCTTCTTCTTCTTTTTTTTTCTTAACATATATTGCATTATTTGTTTCAGAGGTACAGATCTGTGATTCAACAGTCTTGCACAATTCACAGCGCTAACCATAGCACATACCCTCCCCAATGTCTATCACCCAGCCACCCCATCCCTCCCGAAATATAATACTTTTATAATGGAAAAGTATGAGATTTTAATGTTAAAAAATCCACTATCGTTTCCCTTTTCATGAACTTGGCTTACACAATTAACACATGATTTTACTTTCAATCTAAAATTTAAATGTTGGGGATAAGACTAAAATCTGTCATGGACACATACACAAACACTCTGCGGCCACACCAAATTCAGTCACTTCCCAGAGGTAACCTTGGCTATGAGTTTTGTGTGTGCCCTCCTAGATATCTTCTTATCCAGTTACATGTGACTGGCTCATTCCTCAAGGACAATTTGTGATATGATCCAACATTCTTTATTTTTCCTCCTGTTGTCCCTTTAGAATTTGTTCAGTGGGGGTAATCATTGCTTGCTGCTGGATGAAAAACAGGGCCATTCTCAAGACTCTTCTGATCAGTCTGAGGTCATAGACACTTCTACATTCATGGTGTTGTAAAACAAAAGGTCACTTTGGAAATTTCAAATATCCAGTGTAAGGTATACAACAAACATCTCCTGTCAAAGAGGGGAAATATTGAAGCTAAATATGAGCAGAACTCTAGAGAAGTGATTTTCAGTATTGGTTGCATAGTGGGATCATCTGAGAAGTTTTTAAAAATCCCAGTGCCTCTGTTTCACCTCCAGAGTCTTTGATGCAGTTGACCTGGAACTCTCTTGGGCTTCAGGATTTTTAAAATCTCCCGGATGATCCCCATGGGCTACCTTTGAGAACCACAGCTCTAAATCCAACTTCCAATTTACAGAAAATACAGGAGACAGAAAAACATGGTAAATAACACCATGGGGATGTGAGCAGCAAAAATCAGGCCACAGGAAACACTGTAGGACAAAAGCTCAGTTACTTTACAAAAAAATTGTAAGGAAGAAAGAAGGCAGGGAGGAGAGAGAAACCTATAGATTAAAAGTGACTTAGAAGAAATAGCAACTCATTGCAATGTATAGATCTTTTTTGGCTACGCAGGTGAATAAAGTATGTGAAAATTTTTATACAACAAATGGAGAAAGCTGAACATTTAGTAAACAATTGATATTAAGGGATTCTTTTTAAATTTTGAGAATATGATAATGATATGGTGGTTATGTTTTATTTTTAAGAAAAGTTTTTATTTTCCAGAGATACATGTTGAAATATCTCTGGATGGAATTCTACAACATCTGGGAATTGCTTTAAAAGAATCTGGGGAAGGGGGAGCTTGGGAAGGTGTAGATTAAAAAAAAAAATGCTGGCCATGAGTTGATAATCGTTGACTTTGGGCAATGGGTACATAGGGAATTCATTATTCTAGTCTCTCTACTTTTCGTATGCTTGAAAGTTTCCATGATAGTCAGTTTCAAAATATGTGCAGTCCAAGATATCAATCAACACCTTAATCTTCATTCAAAGATAGGAACTCTTTTCCCCACTAGAGCTTGTAGTTAGGTAGTGACTGTCAGCTTTTGGGGAAAGGTGTGTCCTCTCCTTGCTGCCCACCTCCTCCCCTACCCCCTGTTAGTTAACTGTTAGCTGTTGCTTCCCAAGGTCAAGGCAGAAGAGAGGAAGTGAGAATGGAGGGGAAGGGTTAGACAGCTTTCACCTGCTGGGACATCTTGGGCTCTTTCCCTGGTTGATCTAAAACAGATTATTCATGGCTTTAGTCAATTTCCTTGTGTTGTAGTTTAAATTCTGCCCCACCCACCCCCAAATATGTTGAAGTCCTAACCCTCAACCTGGGGATGCTCCCCTTCTGCTGCAAATGCGTTCAATCCCCTGAGATGCCTGCTCCAACTGTGGTTCCTAGGAGGCCACCTCACTGTGGGTGTCAGGCCCGCATGGCTGCCCTGGCCCAAAGAAGACCTTACCCATCTGCTGCCTCTTGCGTGCCGGGAGGGGTGGCCTTTCTCAGCACAATGGTGCTCTCTGGCTCTGGCTCCCACACAAAGCACTAAGCCAGCCATTGTCCACCCTTTAGATTTCCTGGGGAGGAGTCCGGCCCTGTCCATGCTGTCCTCTCCTCAGCTTTACCAGGCTTTCCCTCATTAGACGCGCATAGAATGGAACAGGAATTCTCCCCTCTCCTGGAAATCTTTCCCGAAGACATCTCAGGAATCCCCTTTTTCATCACTCTGACCTCTTTTTATACCCTTCAACTGCCTGAGGGCATCAAAAGCCTAGAAATTTGGTGCAGAGCATTTCTTGTTCATATGGGATTATCTCTCAATCATTCCAGCAGCTGAAGTATGCACCCAGAAAACTTTCTACAGTACGTCCTCAAGATTCTTCAATGACAGTACAGAGCATCCTATCTTTTTTTTTTTTTAACTTTTATGTTTAATTCTCTAGGGAGGCTTTTCCATAGTTTATTCAGTCATTATCCTGGTGATGAATATGATTGTACTTCTAAGTATCACGCTGCTACACATGATCTGAAATCAAATCCTCATACTTACCCCCTTGTGCACGTGTGCAGCTGTTTCTCTGAGCTGGAAAAGGATAGGTGGGGTTACTGAGTCATAACCTACGTCCGGTGTCCAAGCTCCAGATTTGTGTATGGTGAGAGTACCAGTAACTTCTGGATACCAGCTACTTGATTCTGGATCTTATCCATGCTGACATTTTCTTGGACCCAATAGTTCCAGTGGCATCCTCTTGATTTTCCACCTTCCTGGTTGGGACAGACGTGAAAACTTCCCTGGTGGGTCAGCTCCACATGGTTCTGGGCATCATTCTTGGAGATCTAGCCTACAGCACAGTCTTCTGGCCCTTCCACCAATTTCTGAAGCACCTGATTCCTTGTATTAAGTAACATTCTGCATAAAATCCCTAGGGTGGTCTCTATTTCTTGCAGCTGGATTCTGACTGAGACGTGCTTGCTACACAACATCTGATTTTACTTCTCAGTTACAAGCAATGGCCTTGGTAACCACAATCGATGGCCTCACCTTCCTTGTCTGTAGGCCAGGTAGGGCAACTCTTGGTATTCAGTACAATGGATTCCCCCAAAAAATTTTTAGCTGAGCCTAAGCTAGTGGACTATCAGGTGAAAGACACATTATCATGTTGTGCCCCAAAAGAGCCCCAGACATCAGT